GAAGGCACGCCCCATGCTCGTTTGATGCTCAGGCGCCTTTTTTGGATATGATGGCCCTACCCGCAAAGAATCAGGATGTACTAATTTCGCAGCTCAGTAATGTGAGGAAAGCGCCGCCGCTCGCGACGAAACCGCAGGGCACCGCCCGATGGCCGCGGCCACGCCCATGTTCCAGTTCTAATTGCTACGTGATGCTGTTGTTGTTCCGCTACTAATTCTCTTCAGTTCGAATGATGAGAGTCAGGTGACAAAGAGAACGAAGCCGCACCAAGTGGGAACTCGTCCGACTACGCATTTGCTGCTCCTTATGCACGCACAAACGCGGTTCAGCATGGGGCTCTATATGGGGCATTTCCGACGGGTTTTTTTCTGCTTTTCTCTTCAATGCTGGACCACACACTACCTTACCGTTAGATTTTGAGCCGCACTGCTCTTCATTTTTGGACCCAGGGTGTTGAGGCGATTCCAATGATGCAACCCCTTTCGTTTCCACTATGCAAACGAGAACAAATTTATTTATTACCACTTAACACAAAAGTTTGGAAAAATAACTTAACAAAACACATTACCCATAGAAAAAAATAAATATCTTAAAACAACATTTCAGCGACTTAGACAACGGGCGAAACTCCATAACAACACCCAACGCAAATGGAATGGGAACTGCAAAAAACATCGGTGGACGAGCAGAACGAGTGCAAATGGTTCCTCTCCAGAACAAAGTAAAACTATTTTAACGAGTATCGAAGCGAATCGGGAAGTCGTCATGGGACACATTACCGTAGACAACTTCTGTAGAACGAACCACATACGATACATGTCTGGTTCAACCACCTTAGAGGGAGGCAAGGAGTGCTTCCGATCGTGTGCGTGCATCGTTCACCTTCTGTGTGAATTGTGTATCTTCAGCGCTAGCTGACTTCTGTTGACTCTTCTGCACGCTAGTGATATACCCGTCCAGTGAATCCATGATTGCCTTCTCGTATCGTAGCAATTCTTGAGCCTGTAACTCATCCATCGAAACGTTATTGAAATCGCTCGCAAAACTTAAAATATGACAGAAAACTCAAAACCAGTTATCATGATTCAATTTTACTTGCTAAAGGCACAACCCGGAATGTGCGGGCGGAGGAGAACCATTACGCCGTTCTAAATGGCAGGCCCTTCCTCAATGGCCTCAGCCGAAGATCAAAGGGGGCACCAAAGTAGAACGCACAATAGTTCCTGTCTCGGCCCATACGACAAGCATGGAGTATGACTACTCAGGAAAGCGCCACCGACGATCCTACAAAACACAGAACCTTCAATTTAGATGTATTAGGCTGTCCGAATTCTCAGCGTTTTGTGTTACTATTTTTTGTACATTCATTGCTGATTAAAAACTCATTCTCCCTTGCGTCTCAGTAGTACATCCTGAAGAGAATTCTTTGCGCTATCTGATGGTATAATTGCCGTTCACCATTGCTTGATAAACCCCCTTTTCCCAAGACTTTTTGAAGCATGTCAAAAAAGCAACTTCGAAAGATATTTTTCTTCAACTATAAATTGGTTCAATCCGCGACTGAGAGCAGCCCTCGGACGAAAATTTAACCAGGTGTGGGGACCCAGTAAGTGTTGGGAGAAATCACGGGTGCAAACAATGGTTCGACAATTTCCTTCTGGAGAATTTCAGCTGAACGTGCCTCATTGCGGCGACCTTCAAAGAGCAATACTTAGATGAGAGTAGAAGAGTCTTGTGGGAGGCTGACCCATCCCAAACAGTTCGAGAGATTGCAGAAAAGCTAGGCGTTGGCAAATCCACTGTTGCGGATGGTCTGAAACGCATTGGGAAGGTGAAAAAAACTGTGACCAGTGAGTGCCCCAATTTGCAGGCACCAGGCAGAAATATTGGCCACGTCTTGAAGGGTTGCTTCTTCACCTGCTTTGCGCAACAGAAACGAACCGGTTTTTGGAGATTTGTCACCTGTGGGATGAAAAGGTGAATCATTATGATAACAGAAGACGTTCCGAACAGTGGTTGGAAACCGACCAACCACCGAGGCAATTTCCAAAGCCGAATCCTCACGGAAAAAAGATTATGGTAAAAAACCCAGTTTTTTCTTGATGGGATTCATCAACTGGTGTCACATTGGCAAAAGTGTGATTCGAACGATGCTTATTTCGATTAAATCCGATGAGTATTAAGAAAGTTATGATCGTTTACAGTGAAACACTCAAAATGCTGAGAACTTTCCGGACAACCTAATAGGATTTATCTTGATGCACCTCTACCATTTTGCAGATCACATTCAAGAATAACACAGACTTATACTCGAACCTGTGTTTTTTTCCCACCTTTCTATTAGGTTGTCGCGGAAAAGTTTTGAGAAATTTCGGTACGTCATTAGTTTTGAAGAACTGTAGCAAGCGAATGGCCTAACCCAAAGGCGTATATGAAGTGCTATGAGAAAGAGAAATGTTTGTAGATCAATCCAATACTAGTTAGTCTTATTCCCCACGGTTGGTATGACTTACACATTACCTGAAAAATGTACGAACGCACACGACTCCCAACGCCTTCTACTTCATCTTCACCGTTCTGGCTTCTCTGACGGTCAAATCGGGAATGAGGAACCGTCACCGATGCTGGATAAAACGCGCTTCAAAACTATCTACAGCATAAGATCAATCGGTCTCTTTGACGTGGAAGTTGAAGCTTGATATTGCGTACGCCTCCGCATGTTCGGTACTCAGTTCATTCCAACTCCCACGCAAAGTAATCCCGCCGAAAAGTTAAGGGAACTGGGATGGACAATGTCTATTATAAGTATAAACCCCTATCTCTCATTGTTCTCGATAGGTGTTAAATGAGCTGGTTGAAATTTCTCAAAACTTTCCGGACACCCTAATACTAAAGTGCACACACAAGATGTTCTAAAACGTAAGTTTGCTTCATTGCACACAATAGCTTCGACCTCATTTGCAGAGAGGGGTAACATTCTGCGGCTCGAAAGCTAGTGACAACGCCGCTCAAGGTCTGCAACGAAAGACAAGCCTCACCCGTGGAAGTTTTCACTTTCACAACGGCTGCAAGGCGGCCTCATGTAATCTATGGGGTTGGCACATAAAAATACTTTTCGTTTTTTTCAACCGGAAATTTCGTTCCAAAGATGAAATGTTTTGCTAGCAAGCTTGATATCATCTGATAGGAAACTTCACGTAGTTTTAGAATATCAAAACGGCTTCGGTTGAGGGAATAATTTTTGTGGATTTTTTAGTCGTTGAAGTTGAAAGCGAAGTCGGCGAAAATTAGCACCTTCGACAACTGCCTCTATTTACGTATAGTCGAAGTGCTAAAATCGCTTAAGCTGCTCCATACATTTGGAAAAGGTCGAGCTAGAAGTTCCAGCAAGGGAATCTCACTAGGACGCTTTGGAACGAATTTCAAGAATTTTGAAGTTACCAACCTTCACCTCGCCGATATTGGGCAGCTCACGTCTGTTCCACCTGAAATTTTATGCTAATATTTGAATGTTTCGCTGATATGTTTTGCATGTTCTGATAGCAAATTTCGTGCTCTATAACACTGCTATAGAAATCTGTTCTCCAGAGGTGTTTGCTTTCTGTTAAGTTCAGGTTATCATTACGGAACGCGAAGTCGTTGAGAACTAGGGTTCCCGTTCTCCACGAATTTTATGCTAACATTTGAATGTTTCGCTAATGTGTTCTATATGTTCTGATAGCCAATTTTGTGCTCTATAACACTGCGTTGCAGTTATTTTGAAAATCCGTTTGATGAACCTTGTTTTTCAGGTGGATAATATGGAATGTCAGGTCGATAAGCATCAGCACTTCAGACATCTCCTCCTTTTCGCATTCAACAGAGGTATCAGTACCATTCTTGAAGCGTCTGAACCAATTTTGGGCTGTTTTGAGAGAGAGGGCATCTTCTCCGTACACTTCGCGAATTTCCCGAGCAGCATCAGCAGCTCTGATACCTCAATGTTAGCATAAAATTCGTGGAGAACGGGAACCCTAGTTCTCAACGACTTCGCGTTCCGTAATGATAACCTGAACTTAACAGAAAGCAAACACCTCTGGAGAACAGATTTCTATAGCAGTGTTATAGAGCACGAAAATTTGCTATCAGAACATGCAAAACATATCAGCGAAACATTCAAATATTAGCATAAAATTTCAGGTGGAACAGACGTGAGCTGCCCATATCGGCGAGGTGAAGGTTGGTAACTTCAAAATTCTTGAAATTCGTTCCAAAGCGTCCTAGTGAGATTCCCTTGCTGGAACTTCTAGCTCGACCTTTTCCAATGTATGGAGCAGCTTAAGCGATTTTAGCACTTCGACTATACGTAAATAGAGGCAGTTGTCGAAGGTGCTAATTTTCGCCGACTTCGCTTTCAACTTCAACGACTAAAAAATCCACAAAAATTATTCCCTCAACCGAAGCCGTTTTGATATTCTAAAACTACGTGAAGTTTCCTATCAGATGATATCAAGCTTGCTAGCAAAACATTTCATCTTTGGAACGAAATTTCCGGTTGAAAAAAAAACGAAAGTACTTATGTGCCAAACCCAATTACATAAATCATCATCCATTAATCTCGCTTTTTCTTCGCATGTTTCCCTTATGCACGCTCAGTGTGCACTCGCTTCGCTATGCTAGCGCAATGCTTCAAACCAGAGGATGTCCCATTTACGGCTTCTGAAGGTTTGTTCGCTTTTTTCTCGTTGCTGACTCCAATACACAAACATCTCCGCTTGTTTCTCACTCCACAACCTGCCCCCCCCCCTTGCAAATTAGAGCATTTCAGTTTCAAGCTGAGATTTAAGAAGTAATTCTTAATTGCATGCACATTCACCGATTCGCAATTCAGTGGAAAAGAAATGTAGTTTTTCCTTGCTCACATTATCAGCGCTATCGCTCTGAATCTTTCGGAACTTTTGACTGCGTCTGTGAGCGCCAAAATCCCATTATCGCAGAAAATTATCACGAACAAGTGGATCTAACATTCGGATAGATCGAACAACCAAACATGTCGCTTATCGAATAGCTTCAAACCCACTTTATCATAAATGTCTTGTCCCTCATCCTTGAACGTTGCAATGGCATTAGTAAGTTTGGCATTGATCTCGTTGCGATCTGTCTCTAGTCGTTTCTTTCCATCCTAAATTTTTCATTTGCTTTACCACGCCTCAAAATGAAATCCTGAATGTATGTATACCTGCAGCGCTGAAACATCGCGTGATGTCTTGTATTGACTGACAGCGGTGAGGAACTGAGAAAACACGCGATTTTTCTTGTCGACCAGTTGAGACAATGATGTCACCTTGCCCTGTATGCGCTCACGAGCTTCACGAACGGGATCCTTCAATTAATGAGATCTTTTGGCAGTGGTATTGACAATTAGTCTGTCTTCTTCCAGAAAAGCTAATCAGCTTGAGCTAATTATGTTTGCCGCAAAAAGATTGTGCGGCAAAAAAAATTGCTGACTCCATTGTTTGGTTCAGGCATCCGCTCCACTCAAAAGTCAGCAGGGGTCGGGAACCTATACATGGCAAGAAACGTGGTGGTATTTAGTCCACAAAGAACCCTCGATCACGACCTCCTTCATATCCCACTGTCAACCCTACTCCATGTAACATAGAGTGAACAACAGGTGAGGTAAGTGTACAACACTGTAACATGGGTGGCGCGAAAATCCCATTTCGATCCCTTCTCCTTTTTCCAGACGCACTATTCCACATAGCCTGCATCCGCGAGAATCCTCTTGACCCAACCACATTCCACGAACAACTGTTACCTTAACCAGGGAACTTTGCAATCGTTGGGCAAACGCCAGCGGAGGGGGTGGAGCTCGTATTTGGCCTGAAAATTTTTCTCGATGGGTGAATTTTTCGTGTTAAGCGCGCTCCCTAACTTATTGGTATTGATTGGGGGATGTCGTACTTGCCTATAGGAGAGATATTCCGAGGAATGAAAAAAAAAA